TACAAGCAAGGAAGAAAGAACATATAAGAAACACAAAAACTTTTAAAAAAGGTTCCAACATTGCTTCACACGCCTGGTTGAACGACCATTCCATCGACTTTAACAATGCACGCGTGATTGACAAGGGATATTCCCGTGTTAGAAAAACTCTGGAATCCTGGCACACAGCAATTACGAACCATGCTGACGATAATGCGAAACAATTACCAAGACAATATTCAATTTTATTTTGAACCTCACATTAGCATTTTTACTCGTACACAAGCATTTCTATTGTTTTTTATTATAATTTTGTTTTTTCGCACTTTCCTCAGTATATATTTTAACGTTCGCGCTTTCTATCTATTACTCGTTAAAGACTACAGACTGGTAGTCGAAAGCTCGTTTTAAACAAATTTTTAACCAGAGATCGTTTTTCCAGTTTTCCAAATTATATGTGATTAAGGGGAAGGAACATCACTTTATCGATACTTCAGGTTAGAAAGTTGCACTGTGAATCAGATCCTACCATGGTTATCCATGTCACAAAAGACTTGCGTCAAGTTGTGTTTCCCTGTGATCCAGTAATAACCACTTTTTGCTTTTTCAAGTGCGTTATTTATTTCTGCGCATGAGCGGTACTGTACTCCAACTCCTGAATGGATAAAGACACTAACAGTGAGTACAAAAGAGTTCACCTAAGAACACTAAAGAATTGGTTCATGCTATCGAGTTATGGATGCACGCGGGAAGTTTGGAGAGCACGAAAGAAGCCAGAGTTGCTCTCGGCTATCGCCTTCTTAAGTGCTCTCCAAACTTCCCAAGCTAAGTGCATTCATTTACTCGATATACGCACAGCTAAAAGCATGAACCAATTCCTTTATAACATGGCAAAAACAACTTAGACGCTAAAACATGTTTTATTTGTGATTGACTACAAAGTTCTCAAGATGCACGGTGAAGGAAAACAAAGGTGATTAGGATCCTAACACGCCACAATCAGCTCAGAAACAGTTGCAAGAAAACGCTTAACCTTGTTTCTAAACTTGTCAAAGAAAAATTCGCTTGTTCGAATTAATTAGAATGAAAATGTCGGCAAACAAAGTCAAGAATACTCAATGAAAATGTAGACAAACAAAGTTAAAATACTCAAGTTTAAGTAAACATCTTAGCTTGGCAAAAGTCAAGGGCTCCAAGTAGGGTCTGGATTGTTCAAAATAATGTTCACATTGCCGAATCGTTAACAAAAGGAACTTGCACTAAACTCGACGGAAATTTTGCAGCTAAATTGCAACCGCTCACGTCATGTTATATACGCACGACCGTGCGTAGATATAGAGATTATTTCGTTCATGATGGCTCAATAGGAATTAGGTACTAGGACTAGCGCGCGTGCTATGTGACATAACCCCTCTAACACTTGAAACCAGGAGCGCTCGGGATCTGATCACAGGGCATGCAGTTTAAATTGTGTTATTACGACAAACATTGAGTGTGCGCAGAGGAAGAAACTGGACAATCTAGTTGTAACAATAAAGCTTGCTTCATTCGTTTTACTTTCACCAAAATAATTCCTGGCGAAAGAAGCTTTAGGCATTTCTCTTCT